ACTGTGCCAAATCCTTAAGTGGCTATCTGGTCTGATAATAGTCAAATTTCCAGGGAAAACTTGAAGAGGCTTTTGTTCCATGTTATTCCTGAGATATGTCTGTGAATTCTGCTCGATTTAAACTTAACTGACTTCTTTCTACTATGATAATGTTCATGGACCTTGAAAACAGTGATAGAAGCCCAGACATTTTGAACAAGAATTTTCTCTTTTTTTTTTGCAGAACTCCTTCTTTTTTTTTTTTTTTAAAGATTGGTGCCTGAGCTAACAACTGTTGCCAATCTTCTTTTTTTTTTTTCTGCTTTTTCTCCCCAAATCCTCCCAGTACATAGTTGTATATTTTAGCTGTGGGTCCTTCTAGTTGTGGTATGTGGGATACCACCTCAGCATGGCCTTACCAGTGGTTCCATGTCCGTGCCCAGGATCTGAACTGGCAAAACCCTGGGTTGCCGAAGCGGAGCATGCAAACTTAACCACTCGGCCACTGGGCCGGCCCCAAGAATTTTTGTTCTATGAATTAAATCATGAAAAATGTGATTTAGTAATCCAGTTGATTTTTATTTGAACCATAAACTGGAAGGAAAACCATATTTAGGTGATTAGCTAGACTCATTTGAGGATAAGACATTTTCTGTTTCAGTCTTTCCTATACATTTCCTTTTCCTACTTTTTAAAAAAGAGTTTTAGGGGCCAGCCCAGTGGCACAGAGGTTAAGTTCTCACGTTCAGCTTCTTGGCTGCCGGGGTTTCACCGGTTCGGATCCCAGGTGCGGACATGGCACCGCTTGGCAAGCCGTGCTGTGGTAGGCGTCCCATATATAAAGTAGAGGAGGATGGGCATGGATGTTAGCTCAGGGCCAGTCTTCCTCAGCAAAGAGGAGGATTGGCAGTAGTTAGCTCAGGGATAATCTTCCTCAAAAAAAAAAAAAAAAAAGACAGTTTTATAGTATTTTGAGAATATTTAAACATGATTAATGCAAATACTTATCCAACATTTATTCAACAGTTAACTCTGATTCTCAGCCCAAACAGCACATTAAATCACCTGTGGGCTTTTAAAATTAACTTATACATGAGGGCCACCCCCAGAGATTCTGATTTCCTTGGTATGGAGTGAGGCATGGGCTTCTTTTTTTTTTAATACGCTCTGGGTGATTCAAATGAAGCCAGGGCTGGGAAATACTGAGCTATTTTATTGACCCTCATAATAATGCATAAAAATAGCAAGATAAGTTTAATCATCCTCTTTACAAAATAAGTGAATAAAATCTAACACTGTTTTTTAACTTTTTAGACAATTTATGTATATACATTACAACTGTAAAACTATTACATTAATTTAAAAATTTTAGGTTATAGAAAAATAGCATGTTATCCTTAAAAATGAAAATTTTAAAACTCTAGGCTTAAAAAGAAAGTTTGTATTCTTTTTCAGTTTGAATCTATTTCTTCTTAGTGTATTTTTCTGCATTAGCAGAATTAATGGAATTCTGTTTTCATCAGTTGCAATAGAATGGTGTAAATTAACACTGTGCCAAAGGCTTTCCAAGAATGTGAGAAATTATTAGCTTGAAGAAGTATAAAGTGCAAGACAAGGGGTTTGCATTTTAAGATACCTTATCTTTTTTTCCCAACATTTAAAAATAACTGTTAATTTCTGGAATATGGCTAATTGATAGGATTGACTGTATGCCAAATATAAAATATATGTTCTTACATCTTATAAAAGCAAAGCAAGAATATCAAAATAAAAATAAGAGTTTAGTGAGGTTTTTCCACAATTGGAAATACAAAGAGAATTAATGTTTTGGAGATTCAGACATGAATCTTGTCTTTGGAGAATTGTGATTATCTGAAAGATCATGTTCATTATAAGGATTATCTAATTCACAATTATGCAGAAATTTTTATTTAATACCATGGTGTGTTTTGATTTTAATACACTTAACAATCACCAATACACACAAGATCTTTATTTCAATTTGTACATAAAATCTTCAGAGCACATTAACATCCTTGATACTTTTGGATAAGACATTTATATTTTCCGTCTCTGTGACTGTGAGTATATCCTGGATGAAGCCTCTCAGGTAAGTAGGGAAAAGTGAATTGACTTTTGCCTTATTAGATATTCTGTTTAGAGAAGATTCTTTGTTGAAAATAAACATTTTAGTATTGTAATGAAACAAATTAATTATAACTGATATTTTTAGAAGTGAATTTATCTATAAAATTCAAAATGATGTCACTTTCTGGGCATTTATTGATTTTCCACTTTTTGCATATCTACGTATGTGATTATTCCCCACTTTACATACAAATTGAAAACTTGGGGCTGGCCCCGTGGCTGAGTGGTTAAGTTCATGCACTCTGCTTTGGTGGCCCAGGGTTTGCCACCCAGGGTCGAGAGCCTAGATGTGGACCTACACACCATTCATCAAGCCATGCTGTGGCAGTGTCCCACATAGAAGAACTAGAATGACCTACAACTAGGATATACAACTATGTACTGAAACTTTAGGGAGAAAAAAAAAAGAAGACTGGCAACAGATGTTAGCTCAGGGCCAATCTTCCTCATCAAAAAGCATAAACAAAACACAAAACCAGCAAGTATCTCCACTTGCAAAGGTTAGATCTTTTACATACTCAAAAAATTAGTTTAAATTTCTTTAATAACTACTTCTAGTATATTTTGATAAATATTTATGAGGAAAATACCACTTTGCTAGGATCTTTCATAAATAAGCAATTACTACATATATATGTGTGTTGTTCTCTCTATATATGCAATAACATATATATGCGCAATTACACACAGACTCACAGAAACACACATGCACAGCCTTCCCCTTTCCTCTGTCATTTTGAACCTAAAATGGTGTAGGAGAGTAATTAATGGCTTCAGCTTCAGTAGTACTGTATCCATTACAACTTTGAGAATCTACTCTGTATATAGTTCCAAAAATATGAATGGATTTATCTTTTGGGAAAATTGAGCACAATCTAGTAACTCTGTTTCTCCATTCCTATAATATATTCTCTAATACCTAAAAATAACCACTTGGGAAAAAAAAAAAGAAAAGGAAAAAACCCTGATAGCAAGGCATAGTGTATTTCCGAGGAAGAGAGTGAGAAAGAGTCTAAGAGCCTTGGTACCAGGTGGAGCTGCCACACAGGCAGCCCAAGAGCTTGTCTGAAATGCCGCACCTCAGACCTGCCGCAGACTAAAGCAAATGGAAATTTGCATTTTAACAAGATTCTCATGTTGTAATTTATAGGCACTTTATAAATGAGAAGCATGGTTGTTGAGTATAGACATTTTCTGTCTCCAATTGCTGCAGCCAAATGGATATTTAATATAAGAAGATAGGAAGCTATACAAAAAAGAAGAGATTCTATGGTTAGGGCGGAATTCTCAAGGCAGCATTCATCTCATTAATCGTTCTTTCTCCACCTAAGGATTGGGATCAGACATTCAGTGGAGATACTTTTATAACGTTATTTTATCATGAGTTATAAAGGCAATTAATATTAGAGGAGTCACATCTCCAACATTTCATTGATGTAAAATACTCAGAAAAAACACCAAAACTCAGATATAACAAAAATCTTTGGGGCGATGTTTCACAAACTGAGTTCCATGGGTTAATAGTTCTCAATGTATTGCTCTTCAAGTTCTCTGAGGATTTCAGGGCCAAATAATTTTAGGAAGCAGCACAATATATACTCCTCACGTAGTTTTGCAGTGCATTCTCTGAAATCCTACAATAAAAAAAATCTGTGTTACTTTGTTTAGCCTGTCTCCCAAATATATTTAAACTCAGAACCATTTATTTCTTCATCAAATGAGACCTGCCGAAGACAGGTTGTAAAATGCTGTATTTGAGCACTAGAAGTACCGTTGTGTAAAGATTCAATATTGAGAAACTGCATACATAAAAACTGAGAAACTTGCAGTTATTACACAAGCTCTATGATAGAATGAACCACTCATACAGATCAGAATGAAACTTTTAACTAGAATTTGATTTAGAAGCACACTATTATTCTCTAACTACTTTTTGTGTGTGGGTGGAGGGGTGGGTAATAGAAATAAGACACACACACACAGAGTCTATTTAGCACTAACCCAGAATCTGTTTAAGAATTTTCTGGATGAGGATTTCATGTGCACCAAGGACATTATATATCAGGTACAAAATAGATATTGTATTTACTGTAGAGATTACTTTTCTACTCTTAGAAAAGTAATTTTTTCAAAGGAGTAGAATTGGTGATACTTCTCCTTCTCTCCGCTGCCTAATAAAATGGAGTTTACATAAACTTTGAGCTCCTTAAAGGGAGGTTCCATGTTTCCCCGCCTTGTTTAAATGCAAAGGGATTCGTTAATTTCTTCTTAACTAATCATTCAGTTGATGCAATATAACATGGTTAGAAAGAATAAAATGGACTTTAGATTGAGATTTTAGTTCAAAATTCACCAGCTCTATGACTGTGAATCTGAATTTAAATTTCCTCTGTAAAGTAAGTACAAAAAAAACTCATTTCACCATATTATTGGGAAGATTAAAGGAAACAATGTAAAGTATCAGACCCGTACTAGGGGCTCAGGAGCTGCTGATTTCTCTCCATTTCCTTTTCAGAATATTTCTTATGAAAATGTATTTTCAGTGTTATAAAGGATAGGAATCTGAATTGGATTTCTCCAGCTGATCTTTGTGCTCATTTTGCTGATGGCTAAGGGTTAGTAAAGTAAATAATCAGAATCTCTGACACTAAGAGCTTTACAGACACCTTGGGTGGCAGCAGTTCTCTGCAAATATAAGGGGGAAAAAAAGGTGTCCCATTTTATTTTCAATGTGTGGAGAGGAGGGTGGCAGGGCACGGGGATAGAAAGGAAATATATTGAGTCCGTGTTTTAATTATTATCCTGCAATTTGAAACACCTGTCCCAAAATCAAGGTTTTTGAAACCACCATATAATAACAGTGACTACATCACTTATTGTTTACTGACATTTTTTATTGAGGTTTGTAGCTCATGACTTTACATGTGATTGTACAGAGCACTTAAGAAAAAAAAGGTTGGAAAGGTTGTACAAGAGAAAAAATCCAATAATTGAAAGCTGGTAGGTGTATACGATAATATTAATGCCATGGGTAAATATGAGAATGGTAAGAGACCAAAGCCTGCAATAGCTATATTCTTGTTGCTAAAAAGTGATTTTTCTTATCAATGAGAAATAGTGTAATTAGTTGTTAGTTTTTAAAATAAACTATCATCTTTTTAAAAGATATTTCTTGAATTAGATTTAATGCTTGGCAAGTGGGAAAACAGTGTGGATAAACTTTTCCAAATTATCCTTCTACTTTCCAGTGCATTCACAGAAGCCAAATGAAGGGAAATCAAGCTGATTTCCTCTACAATTCTTGATTTTTTTTTCCATAGGCAAAGATCAGTGTTAGTTAGAATATACAAAGACGTTTATAAATGAACACATTCTGATTGTCCAGAGCTGTTTCAAGAAATATCATATTTTATTACTTGGGATGGTAAAGGAAATGTTATTCTCAAATGAGGCATGAAAACCAACTTTAAATGTTTTTTCCTCATCTTTCTTGATTCATAATGTCATTCGAAACATAAGAGAATGTGACAATTTGAAATTCAAGACATTAAAAAATACTCTAGAGAACCAGGCAGTGGTCAGCATAAGAGGACACTGTATTTTGAGTTCTATCCCCAAAGACTTCTACTTACTATTAAAGAGTTGATGACATTCATGAATCTTGCCAAACATTTTTTGAGGTCAACCAATACATTTCATTTTGAAGCCAGGATCATTTTGTCAGTCTACCTTGAGATGAATCAGAGTAATTTTTAACCTTTAAAAAGCTACTTTAGGTATGAATTTTAAACATATTTCCTTGCCAATGTAGTGTGAAATTCTGCAGTCTTGGGCCATTGAGACAAACTTAACTCCTTTAACATTTAAAATCCTCTGGTATTTGACTAACTGTAAATCTTTAATAACCTCTCACTTAGATCACAGAGTGGAACATTCTCATTTTGAAATTACTCATTCTGAATGACAATGTTGATCTAAATTAGATCCTTGGAAGTTGGCTTTACTTTCCTCTCTTTTCAAGCTCCTTCCTTTATCATTCTAGAATGAAAGAAGCATTGGGAATACTTTTAGACACATTTGGAGTATGAAGTACTTTGATAACACACCATGTGTACAACTGTCTGCAGAATTTTATGAATTGACTATATTAACTGAAGAGAGGACTTGAGAGTAATATTTTCAACAGTGTAATTATTTGTTCAGTCTCAAAGTAATATTCATATATATATATAATGAATTATCCTGTAATATGAATATTGCTTGGTTGTGAATTATTTTGCACAATGTACATAATTCCAATTTAATATTAATTTAATGTTTATTAGAAAGATTCATAATAAAGCTCTAAAAGGTACAAAGCCACTAGTAGCATTAACTGTGTTGGCGTACAATAAGCAGATTAGAGAGTGACAGTGAATTGAGGCAAAAATACTTATATTCAAGAAACAGTTATAAATTATTCATGTTTCCTTGAGACAAGGTGTAGCTAGACAAAAATATCTAGAGTGTTAAAGTGTTTAGTGTTTCCTGTGGAATTAGCAGGATAAAATTATACTATGGTAAACTCCAATTTTATTTTTTTCAACACATCAATAGCATTTGGTACAGTGTTTAAGATTTTTATCATTCCAAATGATTTCATTTTTTCCTGGAAAATGTTTCTCTATAACTCTCATTTAGGTCCTGCTACCTCACCATAAATTTGCCAACTTGGTTCTGCTCTTCTTCTGTTCATATTGGAATTGGAAAGACTTGATTATCCCACTAGAGGTTTTTTTCTTGTATAAGTCTTCCTTGACTTCATAATATAAATCAAAGTTTTTCTTTCACATGTTTCTTTAAAATCTTAGTTTGCATTTACCTTTGAAATACTCTAATGGGACACAAATTAAATGAGAAAAATTTGCGTGACATACTATAAAGAGAAAGAAACATCAAAACAGAGTTGAAATCAAGACATTCAAATAAGAACTTAAAGGTCCTAAACATTAAAGAAGTGCTGACTTAATTTTTTTCTAAAAAGAGGGAACAATAATAACTTTATTTCAAATGAGAATATGCAAAACCATAATAGCTACCTATTTTATTGCAAAGACCACAAAGTTTGCAATATTGCAAACACACAAGCTGTAAATAAAAGCAGTCAGGGTATGGAAGTATGTGTACAGGTGAAACTTAAACACTGATTTCCCTTTTAAAGCAAAGAGGAAGTAATCAGGTTAATTGGTAAATAGGAAAGATTCCTCTTACTGCCTAAGCAGGAAAGAAGCAGCTACCAATACTATTTAATTTCTACTAGTCTAGAGATGAAAATTTAGATATTTAGCAATATTTTTCAGATGGTTTAAGAAAGACTGATTTGCTGATTACAAAATTGAATTTACAGTTGGGATCCAACGAATCTATTTTATGGACTCAGAGAAGCTTCTCGTCTAGAATTCATCTGCACAAGAATGCTTCCATGAGCTGTTGTGCAGTGTTGCTGCTTCACTGTGCTTCCGTGTTCCTAACTAATGTATTGATGCACAGAAATCTCGCATAAGATAAGTTTAAAGTATTACTTCGGAATGCATAGTAATTACTTATATGGTGAGTTATAATTATGAATTACTAAACATGAACTAATTAAATCTTAAATCTTGGTACTACAATATACTGGGGAGTACATACATATTGTTATTATATCTCAAATATTTTTGTTAGAGAGGAAAAGACATTCTTGTCAATATTTTCAGAATTGCTCAAAATCAAATTAGAGTTGGAGTTCTTTTTTCTCTCTCTCTAAATTGGAACTGACATGCATAGTAGTTCTGTTGTGGGTTTTTGCGTCTTATTTCCCCAAAACATCCCAAGCAGCAGCACTTTGGTACAGAACTGATGGACAACTTCTAAAAACCAATTACTCTTTCACTAACAGGAGATGATTATTGATTAGTTTGGAGTTGATCTTCAGACAACCCAGAAACTACTTTTCCTCTTCCTTTTGGTCTCTACAGTAATGCAGAAAGTCAGTCTTTAAAGTTTTTAATGTCAGTCATCTTTTAAAGTAAGCAAACCAGTCAATGGATTTGAACACATGTGGAGAAAAAGCTGAAGATATTGCCTAAAATTAAGTCTATGAGTTCTATATAAATATTACCAACTCACTCATATGCTTATCTCATTATCATGAAAAGTTTTTCACACCAAGTTAATATTAAAAAATAAAAATAAAAAAACATGAATCTTGAAGATCTTTCATTAATGTCAACATTTTTAGATTAATGGGGATTTTAAAAATACAGATCATAAACCACATTTTAATTTAGAGTCATTGTGAATTTGTTTTACAAGCAGTTAAGGGTATTTCCATTAGGTGCATTTGATGAATCTATTTTCCCGACTATTTTTACTTTAAGATAAGTGCTCTTATGCCAGCTTTTTTCCCCCATTATGATTGTTTTAGCATACCAATTTACTATTCAACTATAGTATTTTTAATTTTAATAGAGTCAAAACAAAGGAGGATGCTCAAAAATATTTAATTGGAATTCCAACCTATTTCTCTTTCACAAAATGTAGATTTCTCCATAAATATTACCAATTAGGAGCATGGGCTGTGCAACAATTCAACAGTTTCTGAATCAACTCAACATGAGATCTGTTAGCTAGTGTCCTGATAAGTATCATGTGAACTAGATCTCAAAGAGAAAAAAAAATCAGTGTAAAATTTTATCAAGTATCATTTTACTAGGAAACAATAATTGGTTTGTTTCATCGGCATAACTTTTACTTCCAGCTATCCAAATAATGTGCTAGGTATGTATAGTATGTCTGCTTGATGGAAATTTACTTCTTAATGGAAAATCAGATAAACACATCAGAAGTATGCAGATATGTAGGTCATGAATGTCACAGGGTATTGAAAATACAGAGCAACCAAAGGTGGTAAAAAACAAGAAATTTTAAAAATTCTTAATTTATCAATAGCTACACATGAAAATGCAGGTGAAAAAAATTCAAGTATAGGAATTCAACCCTTGCTAGTGTAAAGAGGACTAAATGATTATGTTACATATACAGAAATTTCTATTGAAATGTATGTGTTATTAACTCCTTTATCCATTGTTTTGTTTTCATTAGAGTCACATAAAACTTGGGGTAACAATCTCTTCTTGTGAACGTCTTTGGGATCTTACATCTCTGAAATCACACCAATTATGATGTATGAGAGTTCAAAAATCTCATCCTTTCTTCTTGATGCAAGCGCTGGGTAGTAACTGACAGTACTGAATGGCCTTCTGCATCAGTGTATGTATTCAAGTGATTTTCTTTTGGTCTATGTAGAGCTGGGGAGGCTACTTGCTTCAAATTTCCACATAATGAAACACAAAAGATAACCGGCAGGGAGGTAGCATTATTCGAAAATCAGAATCGGCAGCATCAGCAAGCTGACTTGAGGTAGTTTCCCCAGTGTTGTCTGAAACTAGCTTCTTATTGACAGACTTGTTTTCATATAGATTACTGTTGATCTGGCAAAACAAGCATAAGTGTTCATAATCCACAAACCATGTTTGCTTCTGAAGTTACCTTAAATATGTCTAAAAAGGGCTCTTTCATTACCAAATGTATTCTGTGTAACAAATAGGCTAACCACCTTTCAGGTGCTAATATTGCCATATTGTGGTATGAGAAAATCTAATTACCATTAAAGTTTTTGGTTCTCCTCCAGCTTAAAGAAAATCTTTAGATTTAAAAAAATAGTCATGTTAAGTGATTAAAAAGGAATGATGCGTAAGGTATTTTGAGGGGATATTAAGGTTATGATGCACTTTGGCCCAGCACCCAATTTTTTCTCTTGTCATATTTTTAAACTATATATAGATTACTGGCTATTCTCCAAACTACTCCTTTATAGGTGGGTGGTGTTTAGAGTTTTGGAGAAAAAAAAGAAAAAGAAATCACCAATGTATCACATACTACAGGAGAAATTCTGATTTGGCAAATTCATTCTGGCTTTGCCCTCAGAGGGTCTCCACGCTTGGACAGTGCTGCTAAAAATTCTTCAGTAATCGGAGATCTAGAAAGTTTCTTTGAAAGGGCTTTTTTCCCCCTCCCATTTTCTCCATATATAGAATAAGAAAAAATTAGCATAAAAATGTCTTCCACTATCTTTCTAAAATGGATATGCTCTTTGTCATTGTTCCTGTGGCTTTTAGCTAATTGAGTGAATTTAAATGAAGCATACGAGGAAGGAAAAAGTAGGATTCGACCCCTCCCCCCAAATTCAATGCTTAAATCTCTGATTGAAGCCGGCTTTTATAATAAGCTTAGTGACTGCCGCTGGTTTGTAAATAACCTACATAGTAACCAATATATTAACCTGCTTGAAAGTAAGTTAATGCATCTTATTTCAGCCAACATAAACATGCCCATCCCATTTTTCTGGTTTACTTCGCCTGCAAAAATTGTATAATTTTGTGCTTAGGTTATCCATCTAGGCAGGTTTATTTCTTTTGCAAGGCTCATTTGGGCCACAGAGGATTAGCAAAGTTTATATATTTAAAATAGAAGGAAAGAAAGGCGAGAAAAATGAAGAGAATAATTAATCATATAGTACATACATCAATACAATATCTTCTAAATCTCAATCAGTTGTTTATTGGTTGGCAAACAAGTTTCACTTTTACAACAAATATTAGTAATGAGGTCATCCAACTTTGAGACCATACAAAATGGATCATAAATTTAAAAAAAAAATCATATGTGCTGCTAATTTACCTCTTGTATTCCTACATTACTTAAAATCCTGTCAAATAAATAAATTTTCCTGTTAATAAACAGAAGAATTTTTTTTAAAAAATCACTTCAAAATAACTTGACCTTTCAATTTTTACTACGAGGGAGTGAATTTCCTTTAAAAACTGGTAGTGCAGGTGCCCACTTGGGGGTCAGACTGAGCATTCAGCACTTTAACGCCTATAGGATACGGTTTTTCACATGCAGAAGCCCCGCTAGCTCTATTGACACCTCTTGACTTCTGGAATCATAGCTACTCTCCTGGTGATTAACTGCTTGCCAAATATGCTTTGCATTACAACAGATGCACGCTGTAAACATAAAAGCTCGTCCTGCTCTAATTTGCAAAAATGCTCTTGGAAATATTTTTGACTGAATAAAGATATATAGTGAGGGAAGGAAGTCTAATTTTCTTTATTTTATTTTTTTTTGCAAAAAATAATTTGTTTGCATTACTAGAAAATGATTCTTATAAAGTGATAGTTTCCTTTATTTATTTATTTATTTTTTTTGCCAGGTGAAATTTTAAAGGAAAAAAAGAAAGAAAAAGAAAAGAAAATGAAGGAAGAAAGAAGAAAGGAGGATAACTTCGCTCTCTTACTGGTAGGCAAACTTGCAAGACCAGCACGAAAGAAAAAGAAAACTTCTTTTTTTTCCACTACATTAACAGGACTCAAATTCTGGAGGAACAGAAAGCAGACTATATGTGCAATGCTAGTATCTGTACATTACATAGAAATTGTTCGATTTTTCTTTTGCCATTAGTTTTATCATCAGTTAATACAGCAAATCATAAAATATGCATTTAGCATATAATTCTAGAATTCCCCTCCATTTCATTATTAATTTTGTTGTTTGATTTTGTGTTCCACAGCTACTCCCGCTGTGGTGAATTCAGGTCATGAGTGACTAAAAACCGCTACGTGATACAGTTTTGCTTTTGCCTTTATGTTTGTTTGTGCAGCACTCCGATCTATATGCAGCATGGTTACTAAGTTCAAACAACTCTTCTGGCCTTTTAAAAAGCAGGTCCTTGTAATTATAGTAACAGAGCATCAGAGATGTTAGAACAAACACAACATAATTCAACAAGGCCACAATGAGCGCCATTTTCTTCATAACTCGTTCATTAACATAATGAAGTCTCCATCTGAGGGGGGAAAAGGGCAGGAAAGGATAGGGCACAGGGGGATTTCGCCAGTTATCTTTCTTCCCTGGGCTGACCTAAAAATCCCAGTTAAAAAAAAAAAAAAAGAAGTCAGAGTTTTTGTTTGTCTTTCAAGAACAGCATAAAGATTTAGGAGTACACACATTATTACCACTGTTTATATCAACTCGAACAGTCAACCAGGTGTTAGCAGTTTTGTTTGCTTAAATTTCTGTCATCTTCTATAGACTAGTGACCAAATGAGCAGGTCCTTTTGCACTTCCCTCTGGAGGGGTCCCATCTTTGTTTGGAGGAACTATAAATCCATCACTGCTGCCGCGACCTAGCTGGTAGTAGGTGTGCAGCTGATGGACGTGGTTTCTGGAGCCTAGGTTTGGCATGCTTTTGTAGTAAACATCTTCGGCATCACCACATTTGGCCGGTGGGGGTTCGGTCTGGGTGCTGGTGGTAACGCTCTCTGCGGTGGGCACACCAGCCAGTGCCGGCATGCTGGTGTAGAGAGAGTCCCTATGGGGTGACTGGAGATCTTCTGTGTGCTCGTTGGTTAGCAAAGGGAAAAAGCTCTCACTGTGGTCTTGGGGGATCCGCCTTCTGGTGTAATGGTGTGGCTGGTGGTTCTCTGCGGAGTAAACTCTTGGGGGTAGCAAAGGAGCATCAGATTCCTCATGAATGAGTTCCAGGCCCAAACTCTCCTCGTGGTTAAAGGAGGTGGCGTCATCCAGGACAATGGCATCATCTTCACTCCCACCGCCGAGGTTATTCACCAGCTTGTTCATCAGATTCCTGTTTTGTTCGCTGGAGCGCTCGTGGTTGTTCAGGTAAGAAGGGATATAGTTGGAAGTGAGTTCCTTCAGAATCTTTTTCTCTAGGGCGGTCTCGTTATGGTTATAGCCACGGTCTATGATTTGCACACAGTTGCTCAGGTATTCGCCGCTGGCAATGCTGTAACTATTGCCATGGTTACCATTCAGTGGTAGAGTATCCATGACACTTGTATCCCTGGCATTGTTCAGAAGCCCCTCTGAAAAAGATTACAAAACACTATGACATTTATATCCAATTAGCCATAGAACACATACACACATACACACACAAGCAAAAACATCCGACTATGAAGTATGTATAAACTGCTAGCATTTTTAATTAAGTATAAAATGTTTGGAAATAAAAAATACTATTAAATCCATATGTACATATCTATATATATACTTGGACAACTGATAGAAATCTTATAAATAGAAGTGTTTAAATCTTTAAAAGAATAAGAAAAACCTGTAAATTTGCAATTTCCACACAAACATTGCCTCACGTTGTTTGAAGCAGATTTGGTTATAACTTAGGAAAATTTTACAACAAAATGCAAAATTTTGGTGTAATCACTCATAGCTTTCAATTTATACACGTCAAAGTCAATTCAATAATTCATTACCTTTAATTTTACATGTTAACATTGAAATAGGTATAATATTAACATAATTCATGTGTGGTACTTTGAATATACTGGTCAAAGTAAAAGAATCAGGTAGTTTCTAATAATTTGATATATAATTTTGTAGGATTAAAAATAATCCCTACACACAAAACCACAAAAGGATTATGTTCAATTTGTCAGAATGATGTCATGAAATAATGCTTAGTCAAATAAATGGCACATCAAAAATAATTTGCACATAGGAACTTTCAAAACAAAAATATTTGGATTTACTTTCTAATTTTTTTTCTGCTATAAGCACTTTGCTTACTATTATATTAACCCATTAGTAATTGTTTAGGGTCATTAGGTAATACTACAAAAGAATGTGTAAGGACACAGGGATCTGATTCCTAAAAACAGTTAGTATTAAAGGTTCTATTTCATAATGAGTGATGACTTTGTGTGCATATTAAACTTTGGGTTTAAAAGAGATTAAACATTTTATTCTGGGGAGAAACAGCTGCAGTGAAATAAATTTGACCACATGCTTCTTCAAGGTTTTTGCATTCTCTTGAATGAACAGAAATCCAAGAATCTATAATAGTTCCATAAATCACTTCAAATGCAACCACAAAAGAAAATAAAACACAAACATTTAACCAATACTGGTAAATAAGAAAGAGTACTTCTTTACAGGACAATTAATTGAAGAATTGTATTAAACATCTCAATACACTGCTAACTTGTGAAAATATAGCATTCATTCTATATCTGTGATGCAGTTATGTTTGCCAAAAGTGAACTTTCATTGCTGATTTAAATAAAGTGCCCCAAATATATCAATTTTTATATGGACTTTTGATGAATACTCTGTATTCAAGTAACACAGTTTTCAAAAACAGCAATGCATAAAATACATTAAAAAGCAACCATCACAGACATAGTGAGAAGCAATTTATTTTCATGTTATAAGGTATCTTGTAGACAAATCCACAATGTTAAGAAAAAATAAAAGTAAATGCTTTTTAAAGGGCCGTATGTGATGGGTGACTGCTGCTGCAGAGGCTGCTATGGTATGCTTGATGATTATGGTTGAGTGACTGATGCATTGAAACATGTGTTTATTATTTCTGTTGTCAATGCATTAGGTATGGATTGAAAACAGCCATAGTAAAATAAAACGGCTATGTTGCATGTGACATATTTGTATGATGGAATATACTCATGAAAATTAAAAGTTTATGAATTACTTAGCAAAAATAAATGCTTAATTTAAAAACAATTTAACTCACACAAACATTACATGAGACTTAACAACTATGTTATGTGACACAATAAAAGAATCAGACAACAAAAGCGTCTAATTGCTATTAACATATTTATATAAGTCGATTCATAAGCTCTTTAGTTTTTAAATTGTGAGATGAACTGTTTTTAATAACTACATCATCTATATGTGATGCAATAAAAGTGAACTAAAAAAAATTACATTTGATATGCAATGTTTAGCTTTACTCCCATACTTGTCTCTCTGTAGGGCTCTAAACGACAGCATGAAGAAAAGGAAAGAAAAAACAACAAGTAAGCTTACAGCGACAGTAGAAGAAACATGAGTAAAAAGCAAATTGATGATATGCAGAAAAAAGAGTCAAAGGAAATAATTTCCACTGCCCCAAAATTCATGAGTTGGTGTTACATGGTTTATCATAATTAAAAATATTGAAATGTTAGTCAGAAAATAAGAAATCCCCCTTAACACATGCTAATAAAACGAGTCTTTAATAAGCATTTCTGCAGTTTGTAAATTTCAAACAAATACACATTTATTTTAAAGTTAAGATTATCACACCAACCAAGGAGAGTAAAAATTTGAGGGCAAGCCTTGACTATATCCACACTATATTTCAATATTATATATGTGTGTGTGTGTATGTTAGAACATACTTGCTTCTAAGGAATGTTATATAACTGTAAAATTTTTCAGTAAATCTATAAATAAAACCTTTAGCTTATTATACACAGAGAGAACACTACAGCTGAAGGTTTTCATACTTGTGTTTTTTTCCCCTTAAGTATCTTCTCCTTCCATGTACAAAGGTTATTTTTCCCTCTATACAAATGCTTTTTTATCATTTGTGCATAATGCTGATCAATACTGTCATTTCTGGAGCTCATATTACAAAGTTGTATAACTACGGAGAAAGAAAAGGGTTAAATCCAAGCATTACTCTGCATCAGGAAAATGTGAGGGGGAAAAAAACACCACCATCAATATTAGATTTTCTTCTGGATTGGCATACAATCATATGCAATCAAACATTTTGAGAGTTGATCCTTTAAAAACAATCCTAGCCAAATTTTTTTTAAAAAACTTGCATTTTAATCAGGTCAAAAGAACTGCTCTTGCTGATTTTGTTTACAGGAAGATTAAACCATCACAAAATAAAAACCAGCGAATTCATCCAGCTAGATCATTTCAAGAGATTCCAACTTGTTATAACTTAACCACTGCTTTAGGGAGACAGTTTTTGTACTTTAAAAGTTGATTTGCTTCTCAGCAAAAGACCAATACTATTTCAAAAGGCATGGGAAATGTCTTTTAAAGTTTCAAAATAGCTTTAGAAAAAGAATTTGAAATAAGGAAGCCAAACTGTATGGCAACAGATGGAAATCGTTTGTAGACTCATTATAGCTCCTTCCTTCAATGAGAGCGTTTTAGGAGTGGAAAGCACATGAGCGAGAAGCAAAGTTCAAGTCCTGTTTTTCCAGATGAGGAAACTGCAGCCAAGAAGTGCGGGGGCCTTATCTAACACCACCCTGCTAATAATGGCAGGCCTGGGGTCAGAAAGGGAATCTTCTAGATTTCCTCTGTGCACTACTGTTTGTCTCCTTCTCTTCACCTTTGCCTTAGGCTTTGAAAGACATAACAGAATATTTATTTACAGACTTTATAATATAACCTTGTATTCTTACCAACTATAATGTATTCTTCCCTACATCCCATCCTAATATATGTCTTTCTTTAAAGTTTTAGAGTTTAATTCAATTACTTTAAAATGTAAATTCTTTTGTAAAATGATGACTTTCTCTCTATTATGTTTTGTTGACAGGTTAATCTATAATGAGACTTATCTTATAAAAAATGAATTCTTCAACACTGACAAGAAGATAATGGCCCAGACATACTATGCATGAAGTTTTAAATATTTCCACACACAAAATTTAAATCCAATATAACAAAAGTATATTATTCATCTTTATTCCTAACTTGATATGCTTTACTAATACCATAAACACATCTTTACATATTTCCAATAAAGGCATTACAAACAGAAATGGATACTTTAAATCTGAATGCTTCTTTGCTTGGATGGCATTGGTGCAAGTGAATGAGAGGACCCAGAGAACAGAACCAAGTGGTAATTCAGCATAAACCACTCCAGTACATACCGAGCCACCTATACTGCATGTAAGATTTCACCTTGCCAGTAAGAATATAAGTGCATTCATCTGAAAGCATAAGATTAGTAGCAATATGACAGTCACCAAGATTTATTTTTGGTCAGTGGTAAAAAGAACTATTTTAAGCACTATGATAGTTTCTTAACATCTTAAAAAATACTAAAACATGAAATAGTTGAACAATTCCACTTCTGATTCTGAAAAATATTTATGAAATTATTTACTCTTGCTTTAAGAAAAGTTAGTAGAATTTATTTAGTTTACTGGCAATAATGACAAATCCATTCAGAAGAATCCTTTGTGTATTTATTGATAATCTTAATAGCAATGTCTAGTAATAGATTCCACAGGAATAAAACTTTGTATCTACATGGTATTATTTTAAATTTTGCATCAAGAAAATTTCACTTTGATAGTCTTTATAGAAGTGTTCTATTCTTAGAAAAAAATCCCTTAATTTAGGATAATGGTAAAAATAAAATAAGAGAAGAAGGCAGATATCGATTAGGGAAAACATATAGATTAACAATTGTTAGTTTTTCCTTATATAAGACATTTGAAACTATATCTGAATAATCAGAAAAGCTAAACAAAATATGATCTAAATTTATTACTTGTTTTAAAACAATTTCTTTGTGTAAGGTGAATAATGTGCGATAGATTGAATTTGCAGATATGGTGTAAACCTTCATTTAACATCATTCAAAACTTACTAATATGTCAGCATACTTTAAAATGTTTATAGTGACACAATTATCTGTCATTTAGCCTAATGAAAATAAAGAAATAAAACAAAACAAGCCGTTATAAGGTCTGCTAAATTGTTCTGCCAAACCACATCTGGCGGACTGTGTATTGTACACTTTATTGAGTGCTACAATGAGATAGGGACAGTGACAAATGAGAGACAATTTAGAGAGGAACTAACTATGAATAAGGACCCAGAAACTATCTCATATTGATGGCACTCAGCTTGTTTTACTAGGGAAATGGAGGACTAAAAGAAGACAGGTTAGCCGCTGACAAGTATTTAAAGGATTGCCCCAGGGAGCAGAAGAATGCTTTGTTCTTCTTTTCTCTAGAGGGCAAACCTAAGTGTCATGGCCAGAGGCAAATTTTGGCTCAGAGGAAGGAAACAAAGTACCTAACAAATGAACTATTTCAACAATTGAACACATGAAATCCTGAGGTGGGAAGGGCTCCATTAGAGGAAATACTTAAGCAGGCTGACAGAATGTCAGCAATGTGGTCAAGAGGATTCAAGGAGCTCTCTCCCTTCTTTTGATTCTAAAAGTCTGCGATGAAAGTTAGACTTGTAGGCTTTAAGAAACTTGATAATACTGAAAGTTTGCTTAAGTATTTCATCCTATTGACAAACAACTTTATGTTCCAGAAGTCACTTCTGAATTATTGACTTTGGTATTTTTGAAATAATTTAAAATCATCCTCTGTATCTGGCAAGCTGTCACCTGAGAAGCTCAAATGGTTTTAGACACCCAACGGCCATGTTGCAACAAACATACGCTTTTCCAGAACGGGCATTCACGCCAAGTTTTACACACTCACCGCCACCAATCTTTTACCTCTGACTGAGAAGGAAAGAAAATAAGGATTCCCACAGAGGATAGCTGAAATTTTATTCAAAATTGCCTGGGAAAGTTAAATACTGTTAATCTATCACGTCCAACTTGAAGGAACCGTGGAAGTCTCTTTGTTACAGTGAATTTTCTTTCAAATACAATTTTAAATAAGTGGTTCACTAACTAGGATTTTTCTTTTATGAAACTTTCATTTGAATAATGTTTTCCCTGTAATCTTTTTACATATGATATGAATAATTTTTAATTTCATGTGCCCCTAATAAATTTTTATTCTTAGAAAAGGTAAAGCCACATCCAAACACTTATATTGTAAGTTATTTTAAGGAGATTTATGCTTATTTATTTGAGATACAATTAAATTTTATATCATTTAAAGCTGGTGGATCTACAGAGGAACCAGATTCAAAAGCCTTGTTCTTAATAGGTAGCCACAGAAGAAAAAGCATTACGTCACTTTCCTGAGCCGATTCGTACAGGCAATGGCAAGCTAGCATAGAGCTTGCTCTTTCCTCCACAGCGTCGTAGTTCGATAATAATTTTCCCTGGCGTTGATCTAAATGCTTTCATCAGTCCTGATGCTTTGTGCCTAGAGTGTGCTTCATGGTATAACAGAGTAAGATTATTTCTTAATCTTAAAACATTAAGACTATTGAATTAAGTCTTCCTTTATCTTACTTACCTTAAGCAAATATCTCATTTCTCCAAATAAATAGGTATTTAATATAAAAATCAATCAACAACAAGAAAAGTACCGACAAACCACAATACATTTTATAACATTACAGAGAAACAAACATATATTGATGAAACAAGCATTTGTTTATCAGAAGGAAGGAATCCACTTCCTACTAAGGAAAACCTAAGGAAAATGGAAAATAAAAGCACCAAGAGGGGTGGGAGGCGAAGGGAGTCTGTGTGTCTGCTTCCAAAGGAAAGAAAAGGCAGGAGAGAAGAAGGAAAAATAAAATGTGGCCATAAAAGCTACATAAAATGGGACTCTCACTTGGAAAAATTAAGATAAACTCTAGCACACCTTGTGCGTTGTACATGCTGACAGAAGGGTTGTTACAGACCGCCGGTTCCCCAAGCAATGTATTATAGGGATTGTTAGTACCATGCGGACGAAGCAGAGCATTGCTTATAAGATGATTAGCCATGGCTCCTGGAGCAGCCCCATAGAAAGACAGAGAAAAAAAAAAAAGGTCAATCAGGCAAATGTGTTTGAAAAAAAGAAAGGAAACATTTAGAATGACAACAGTTGATATAGTCCTGATTACAGGCAGGCAGCTAATTAGACTCAAAAATATATGCCACTAAAGCACACGTTTCCCACAATGCACATATCCGAGAGTCAATGGGAAAGAAAGAAAATGATTTACAATGTTGATTAAGCCACATTTAGAGTGTTCTCTTTCCCAAAGTGTAAGCAAGAATATATTCCCATGCTTGCTAAAAATAAAAATTAAAAAAAAGGCAAAATACAGTCTTCCATACAAAGAAAACACAAAACAAAAGCTGAAAAAAATAGTTTAAAACACAGGAAGAAAAGCTAAAATTAAACAAAAAATACCCTCATTCACAGACACCACTGGCTTGTTTTCAATGAAAATGAAAGAAAAGAATAAAAGGCAATATTTATGATAAAACACTCATTTGGAGAGCAGTTGTTGACACAACAGAAGAATTTGACATTTCTTAAAATCCTATGACGAGAAATTCTTTAAATTGAAATAAAATAAAATACAAATCACTCTTATTAGTACACCATAGTAAGCATACTAATTAGGTGAAATTACAAATCTGATAAAATAATCATATGGGCATTATTTTAAAATATTAACTTTGTGGTATCTACCAATTCCATTTTCCATTTTCCAGCTGGTTGTTTGGACTTTGACATAACAAACTAACAAAGTTAAATTCTTTCATCTCTTTGTGAACAGATGTCTTAGGTTCTAACTTACCATCAATATGAGTTGCAACCTCCCACCCTCCAAAACCATTTAATCAAAAAACCAAAAATAAGAGAAATAGTTTTATTAAATATAATTAGGCCATCTACAAAAACGATTGGCAGAAAATGTATTTATGTTAGATGATAAAGAAAGGAAACATGACTGAGGAATGAAAAATATAAGTTTTATGGGGACAGTCAGGTTGAACACACAGTTACATGGTAACATACACATCAGAGAATGAAAATACAATCTACAGATCAGGAGAAAATATTTGCAAGTAAATTTACAAATATTTGCAATCCAACAAGACTAGGATCTGGAATATAGAAAGAATTCTCAGAGTCAACAGTAAAAAAATTGAAAAACAAAAAACCCAAAAAACAATCCCATTGGGAAATGGGCCACCAGCATAAACAGACATTTCATGGAATAGGATATACAAGTGGCAAACAAGTTCATGAAAAGACCTGATATTAGCCATTAGGGAAATACAAATTAAAACCACAATGAAATATCACTACATACTTAAAATAAAAATGGTGACTACATCAAACGCTGGCAAGGATGATGAGAAACTGGATCACTCATACTTTGCTGGTGGGAATGTAAAATAGTACAGCTACTCTGGAAAATAGTCTGGCAGGTTCTTATAGAATTAACCATGCAATTACCATACCACTCAGCAGTGTACCCTTGGACATTTAGCCCAGAAAAATGGAAATTTATGTTCACACAAAAACCTGCACATGAAAATTCATAGAAGCTTTATTTGTAATAGCCCATATTGGGGTACAGCCCAGATGTCCTTTGATTGGTGAATGATTAAACAATCTGTGGTATATCCATACCACGGACTACTACTCAGCAAAAAAAGGGAACAACAATTGCTACGCATAACCAACTGGATGAATCTCTAGAGAATTATACTAAGTAAAAAAGACAATCAAAAAGACAATATATATATATATACTGTATGATTCCATTTATATATATATACATAACATTCTTGAAATGAAAAAATTATAGAAATGGAAAACAGATTAGTGGTTGGCAGGAGTTAAAGATGGAAGGCAGAAGGAAGTAGGTATGGTCATAAAAGGGCAACATAGGCATCCTTGTGGTGATGGAACTCCTGTGTATCTTGACTATGGTGGTGTACACACAAACCTTCCTGTGTGATATAATTGCCTTGGAACTAAACACAAACGCACACATGCACAAATACAATCAAATATAAGTAAAACTGAAGAAATCTGAACAAGATTGACAGATTGTATCAATGTCAATATCCTGGCTGTGATTTTGAAGTATAGTTTTATAAGACACTGTTGAGGAACACTGAGTAAAAGGTACATGATCTCTTTATCATTTCATACAACTGCAAGTGAATCTATAATTATCTCAAAAAAAATCTATATTGATTAAATAAAAAAAATTTAGTCACTCATAGAAAATGTTTACAAAATGAGAAGGGAAAACTTGGCGATGGTAGTTTTAACTTTTGCAATATCATAGCTCTTTGTTATATGGTAAGCTATCGGCCAAATAAATATTTTAACCTCAAAACTGGGAAACTGAACACCTCTTGATTTAAAGGACAATATAGCTTGTCAGATCTTTAGAGCTGGAAAGTTTCAGTTCTTCCAGGAAATAAGTCATATTGTTTGCATCCTAAATATCTTGCAAAGAACTAGCATAGAACTAGCACAGAAATTTTCACTTACTAAATGATCAATGAGCAGTTGCTGGAGTTGTACACCATATACATTCAAATATTCTTAACACAGTGAGCTGGCACACCTTCAATCTATCATAAAATGGACCGACCTATCAACAGATTATTTTCCATTGATGAATTAAATACATGGAATATTAATAAGAAAAGCTAAAAAGGGTTGGCTAAAGCGCCTTTCAGATAAGAAATGCAATATTGTAAATCTTAAACATGTATGTTGTTTATGTTACCCAAATTTAAGATTAAATGTTAACAGAGACAAGATTTGGTCTGTACATTTTTAAAAGGGAAATTACTTATAAGTTGTACCTGTTAGTTACTATTTATCATCCTAGCCTTTTTTCAATAAAAAGGTAAGTTAGTCTTTCAAGACAAATAATTACTTTCTAAAATTACTCTAAATAAGGATTTAAATAGAAAATGAAAGATGTAAGCAACTTAAAATGAACTAGGGTAAAAGTCTTAAAAACATAAAATTGCTCAAATTCTTCATATTCCCTCACAGATCAGAGAAGAAGTGAGATCTTTATGGCTGAAGCTTATATCTGCATCTCTATCCATTTCGCTTCATTACTATGCATGACTTAATTTGAACTAATTGGAAAACAAACAGTAGGTTGGGAGAATTGCCATGCCACTCTTTTTCCTTGCTTCATATAACTTACTAAAGAAAACATTCCTTTGTCATATATATAAATGTTTTGTTCTATGCTGATGTAAAAAAAGATGGTCTGTGCTTTAGAATAAAGAAAGAATTGATTTGAGAAGAATCAAGCATCAGTAAGAAGCAGGTGACTCAATATTTTGGTTTCTGTTTATCATTCAGTTTATTAAAAAAAGCTAAGAATATAAGAACAAAAAAGTTTAATCATACAAAAATGGAGCTCCGTAATGGAATTCTAACGAAGCTGTCAAAATTTTTATAGATAATTTATTGGTCATATCTTCCCTAGCATAAATTTCCTTTTCAGTTTTTCTAATTTGTGAATGTACTTTAAAACACTTTCATCAGTGAGACTATTACTTGTAGAAAGGCCGAGTTTTAAAGTTCATTTCATTTATCATCAATTCCTGCTAAGCTGGAAAGGCCAGCAACAATAGCAGAAATGCTATCGGTATATAGCTGTGTATGACACAATGGTGGCTAACTGGAACAACATTCAGTCTCAGCCAATGGCTTTGGTGGCTTGCTTCCTCAAATCTGGGTGCAATCCGGAATCTATTACTGATCTATAGCCATAATGAGTGACATGCAGTCACAACTGGAGAGACACCTGCTATCAAGTCTAAAACCACATAAACACAGAAAAAATAATTTAAACCTTTTTGTTTTTTGGTGAGGTAGCTTGGCCCTGAGCTAACATCTGCTGTCAATCTTTCTTCTACTTTGCTTGAGGAAGATTAGCCCTGAGCGAACATCTGTGCCAATCTTCCTCTATTTTGTTTGTGGGTCACCACCACAGCATCGCTGACTAGTGGTGTAGCTCCAGGCCCAGGATCTGAACCCACAAACCTTGGGCTGCTGAAGGGGAGCGCATGAACTTAACCACTACACCACTCGGCTGGTCCCAAAAAATAACTCAAAACTTTTAAACAAAAAACATTTTCCTCTTTATCCTTGGTATTAAGGAACTTTTTCCTGATAGAAAAAAAGAATCACTACTTAAAAGTAAGTTGCTTTTTTTACTATCTCTCACTTACTTTTATACCTCAGGTGCCATTTGAAATCAATATAATTAGTATCACTGAAACTAACTTTCATCCCAAAAATGGAGCTATAATAAAAAATGAGCATTCAGTAACAGTAACTAAAGAGGAGGGTCTGAAGTTTGATCATCAATGTTTTGTGAAGAGCATAAAGTTATGGATAAGCTCTGTGGGTTTGCTAGTTTGAAAGAATGATGGATATGTCTCAGTAAGCACACAGCTATCACTCATTTGATTCACCCAGGGTAAGAAGTCAATACTTTTTCACGGACTCTCAGGGCATGGAGTGACCCCAAGGGCCCATTCTTCCTGTCACCATCTCAAACAAGTGCAACTTTCCTAGTAGGTATTACCACACGGTTCCTATAGTTTCCACTCACATTTAGGCATTTCAATTCTACTTTTGAATAAACTGACTTATTGCCAACGCCTACCTCTTTCAACCAAAAACTTGCACAGACCCTGTCTTCCTCCATCTTTTATGTCCAAAGTTACTTTTGTCTTTTCTCTGTTGCTGCCCTGCATTTCACTTGTCTTTGCTGAAGTCCATTCTGTTTGCTTCTGGCTGTTTCCTCTATTTACTAAGGTCACTTTGAATTCGGATACTATTTTCCAAAGTTCTCTTCATCCTGTCTCTTCCTCTTCCTTCCAACTAACTGCTGATTTGTAAACTTCCCTTCTAATAGCTGGGAAATTTCTGAAGACTTCCAAGAAGATCAGTGTTTACAAACCATCTGTCAGTGTTTTTCAGCAGAAAAGTTA